CTCACTCACCATCCCTAGGTTAAATGGGCTGTTTTTTCATCGTGAATTCCTCCTTTAACACGTTGACGACAGCGCAGGACACATACGTCCCGCACTTTGCAGGCCATAACGGACAACGCGGGACGTATGTGTCCTGCACCCATGCATTCATTTTTTCACACGTGATTCATTTTTAGGCTTCTTGTATTCATTCCATAGAGAAAACCTTAACATAGATACAAACATAGTCGCTCTTAGAATGGTCACGTATGCTTCAATTTAGGGGAGGTTTTCTGAACCAACGAAATCGTCAGTAGTTGATTTTTTGTTTACATTTTCTTTTCATGAATGTGAATATTTAAATAGTAGTATAAGTCAATACGGAACCTCAAGTATGACAAGATATGTGTTTTGATTGCAATAATCGGTGCAAAATTGCTTTTGACGTTCATTGCAGCTGATTCTGACAAATTTTGCTTTTTCACTATTATTTCATCCGACTTTCGACCAAATTTTCACTACTATATCTCTGGGGCGCTTCTACGCACTGAAAAGACTAATCTAACTTTGTATCAATCATGTTTTATTCATTTACCATGCAAAATTCGCCTGAAGGACCTGAGGCGGCGGCGCTCGCAAAATCGCGCCGGTCCCACGCGGCCAAAAGAAGCCAAAACGCGCGTTGTCGTCAACGTGTTAACACAGTGTGCGCTGATTGGATGAACAGTCCCCAAGAGGCCCATCGCGCGGCGAAGGAAGAGACGCAGACGCGGCAAAGGACGAGTCGCAGCGCATACTGTAGCGGTTAGGCGTCAGGTTAAATAGAGTGTACCATACTACGTCTCATATCGCACAGCACGCGCTGCGACTCGTCCTTTGCCGCATCTGCGTCTCTTCCTTCGCCGCGCGACGGGCCTCTTGGGGGACACCCGTGAGAACAGGGTTACGCCCCGCCCTTCCCATTCCCATTGGTTAGCCCTAGCTTTTGATACGGTAAATTACGGTCAAGATATGGGAAAAACCGATGAAAGTCTCCTAGGGCCTGGCAAATATCCCTTCTATAGGATCAATGGGTAGTGTTATTTCAAGGGCTTTACTTTTCTTTCTGATCCTTCCACCATTGTTGGACCAATGCCAAAATTTGCTTCATTTCAGAACGCAATAATCCGCACTCATTCGATCGCGGAATGTGTCTTTAAATTTGGCACATCATAAAGTGTTTCACAAAGCTGCTCTGTTTCGGATGCTTCCCCACAATTCTCTGTCAGCGCTTCAGAGAGCACATTACAGAGCAAGCCGTCCACCACAGCAGCCGCCAGCAAATACATAAAAACTGCAAAAGAATAAACTTACTTGTAAGCCTGACTAGGCAATCCACCATTACATCCCTGATCAATGATGTCACAGTCGACGAGCTCCTGTTCCGAAAGCGACACCAACTTCTTTTTGGCCAGATACCACTGTCCTTCAATGTTTCCCGTGGTCGAAAACGCCCAACAGCTTCCACAATTACCTGAAATTCAATCCTTCTTCATGCTAGTAGTCTTTGTTCAGGAAGTGTAGCGCTCTGCCGAGTCTTCGGAAAAGGGCTAATTGCCTCTAGTCTACAATTTCTACAAGTGAATCGACTGTGGCTAACATGAATCAGAATGGAAAGCTGGTAAGCAAGCGATTACCCCAGCGGTTACATAGCCCTGGAATGGCAGTTTTGGCGCAGTATGAGCCTCTGCTATGACATTCAGGACCAGAAAGGTCTTCCAGATCGTGCTCCGTCCTTCAAACGATTTTTTGCACGATTAAGGGACACATGCTAAAACACAAATCCATGCTTTATTTCCCTGAGCAGTCCTCTGAAAGCCAAAAAGGATTTCAGAAGGTTCGAGTGCCCTACTTTTTTGACATCAGTTTTTGGTAGAAACCTATCCAATGAGTTACTGAGGGCCGTGACGGTAGTAAGGCATTCACAGCTAACGGTGAATAACTTTTAGTGACATCATGCAAGCGTCAATAGAAAATACAAAACTTGGTCACCACGGGGGATCGAACGATGAATTAATAACGGCTTCGAGCACATCACCCACTTATCCTAGAAAGGTGCGAGAAAAAACCGTCAAAACGACCGTCCGCTGACCCTTAAAGGCAAGAATCAGGATGTGAAGAATGAGAGAATAATGTGAGCGCAGAGAGTGGTAGAGAAGTCCGAGAAGAGAGAGCATAGCAGATCAACGCAGCGACGCAGACAAGATATCGAACGGTGGGCGGACCATGTTAAGTTTGGTGGAGTCTGTTAGAAGTCCATGGCGCCTAGGGTCCTAGTGACGCGTTTCGATGTAGAAAGGTGGCGCTACCTTTGCACTTGCGTGCCCAGCACTTCTAGCCATGGTAAGGGCTTCTTAGGTGGGTCTGAGCCCGAACTTTGCCTTTAATCCATACAACGTTCAGCTCTGCAAGAGCACATCTCTTATGAGAGATTCAGATACGACTTATATAATTCCATCCATTTTTGACGTTCAGAGGGTCGCTCAGGAAAACAAGCATAGTTCCGTGTTCCGTGCACATGTACCTTTTCTGGCTATATAAGGCGGAGAACAGTTCTGGAAAGCGGGGCACGACCTGAAAGATTTCCTTGATAGCTTCACCTTTCATATTGCGAGGGGGCGGGGCAGTCGGGGGGAGGGGTTACAAGCACTCATGAAAATATACAGCCGCTAATTATATGATTTGATGGACTCCATTAACAGCTGTTTTCCGCTGCATTTGCGAAGTTTGAAAGTGTGTCCTTTCGGTGGAACCGGTAGCATACCTGTCACAAACCAAGGGGTTCGGGTACGATTTCCGCTTGGGATGAGGAGTTCTGGCCATCATTCAACATCCTGGGAAATTGAGATACTGCAGGATGCGTGGTCTCAATGTATGAGCCTCACAAGCGTACTGCAAGGCGAATGGAAAATGTGCGATAATGCATATCTTAAGGGCCCTATCACCTTATCCTAAACAACTCCAGCTTCGTCGCGAAAATTGCGCGGTTAGGGCGCTAATCCTTACGGGCCTGCAACCATCGACCCCGTTCCAACGCTTCCCACCCACCGCGAGAGATGGTGAGATCAGCGTGCATTGATGTAGAGATCAGCGTGCTCTCTCAAACGACGTGCTCTCTCGCGTATTTTGTCTTCTTTGATCGCCCTGTCTCGCCATCGTACCACATCCGACCTTATTGAAGGTTAAGGCCTTAATTTCAGCGTTCCCAAATTCTCTTGCTTTCCTTCCACTTTCAGGTCGTTCCGCAGCTATCACTACGAAGCGCTCTTAGCACCAGTTGATCCCGGGGTTTGCCTTTATAAGACCTGTCGCGATACTACGCAGAAAGGGAGAAAAGTAGGCGCGCTTCGCGAGTGGAGTCTAAACGAGTGGAAGTCCCGCGTGGGCGGAAAGTGACCAGCTTGTCTAGGGCGTCTCTACACTCGTGATTCTCTCGATACTGTTGTTTTACGACCACGCCCACTTCAAATGGTATGTAGCAGAGTTGCTGGAACTTCATGATTTTGAACAACAACCAGGGTCAAGTTGTTAAAATAGCTGACCAGCAGTTAATTTTTAATTACAATTTCAAATTTTGAATCGGACAACGAAAAATACCTTGATTCTTCACAGCCGTCACAGCGCCATGTGATCTCCAATCGAATGAATCTGGTAGCGGCTCCTTCAGGTCAATCCCTTCGGCAGCCAAGTCCGCGATTCGATTTGGGTATATCGGCTGTTCCCATGTATACGGCAAGTAGATCTGCAAGAAGTCAATAGAATTTTGGGCGAGCGCTTAATTCGGGCTCCTCAAAACATCAACGATTGTTGGTGGATGTCGAATGCGTGGCGTACTGAGTGATGAGTATTACGCCATCCGCCCCTCCCCCATCATAGCGTACGTCCAATCGTATGTAACAGGACGCCATTTCCGTCAAATGGGTTAGAGGCATATTAGGAAGAATCGACAGTGAGACTAGTTTTGGAGTTTAGAGATTCAAGTGGGAAAATTCAGACATTATTACGAAATTTGAAAGAAATTTAGTGGATTTAAAGGCTTTTTTTTACCGTGCGTGACTCGACGGTGTTTT